CTCTTTCTCCTTATCGCGGGGCAACAGTCAAGAGCATCGATCTGGACATCTGGACGCCTGAGCAAATGGAGTCGGTTCAAAAATGGGGCAACCGCCGCTGTAATCTGTACTGGGAGGCCCACCTGAAGGCGGGGCACGTTCCGGCCGATCACAAGATCGAGTCGTTTATCCGCAGCAAGTACGAGTCGAGGCGGTGGGCCAAGGATGGTCCTCCCCCGTCCGATCCGAGTGTTCTGGATGGTGTGCAGGATGCTGCTCCTGCTGCGGCGACCGCATCAACAGCAACTACCGCACCTGCCAAAGTGGCCGCAACCAAGCCTGCACCTGCAATTGATCTGCTCGACGACCCGACCCCCGCTCCCGCACCAGCAGCAGCAAAGACCGCACCAGCAGCCAAGCCAGCACCCGCAGACCCCGCACCAGCACCGCCCAAACCCAGCGGAGGCGGCGAAATCTTCGACCTCGACTGGCACGACCCTTCGTCCTCCGCCACCACCTCTGCATCCGCCACCAGCCCCACCACGTCCACAGGCGCAAAGGGCAAGAACGACATCATGTCCCTCTTCGCCGCCAAGCCCCCCGCTGCGCCCGCTGCGCCCGCTGCGCCCGCACCGGCAAGCAGCAGTGCCGGATTCGGCGACTTTGGCTCGTTCGCCACGCCGGCGGCTGGCAGTGCGTCCGCGGGGATGGGTGGGCTCAACGCGTCCTTTGGCGGGCTGGATCTCGGCGCGCCGGCTAAGCCTGCGTCGAACGCGTTTGCCGTCGGCGGCGCTGCTAACCCGTGGTCGAGCGGTGGCGCTAGCGGTGGTGCGGCAGCGGCAGGCGGCGCGGGTGGACTGTTCGATACGCAGGACGTGTGGGGGTCGGGAGGTGCATCTGCGTCGGCTACGACGGCGGCGAGCAAGCCCAAGGATGATGCGTTTGCCGATATCTGGGGTGATTTCAAGTGAGCGTTGTAGACACCCTTCTGCACACGTCGAATGCGAGAATGGCATGCATGCAGCGCTTCGTTTTTGTTCACTGCTCAGTCTGTGACACAGCAGTTGCAAGAAATCCGTGGTCCACGTTGACAAGGTGAATGAGTGAAGACATGACATTCGCAAAACAGACACAAGCGCTGCGACGCCGTCCCTACGCAACGCTCTCAACGCGACTGCTGGCAGACTGCAGCTCGGCATCGTTACTCGACTCACCCTCGCCCCCGAGCCTGCCCCTCGCCTTGTGCTCCTCGTCTGCCTCTTCATCCTCATCGCCGACAACCGCCGAGTTGCCCTCGAGTCCAAACAGCACATCGTCCCTGCGTCTCGCCAACAGACTCGCCTCGGCAACCAGCATGCTGCGGTACTTTTCGTTGATGCGCGACGACGCGCCGTTCTTGCTGCCGCGTCTTGCGCCCGCGCCGCCACTCGCCGCGAGCTGGGTGACGCTGCCGGGCCCGGAGCGCGCCGCGGCGTCCGCGAGCAGGTTGGTCTCGCTCTCGGCGCGACTCGTGTGTGCGAGGTGCTTGGTGCGTGCGAGGGCGGAGGTGGGCGCTTCGCTGTCGCTGTGCGGGTGCGCGGTGCGGTCGGCGGTCGAGAGGAGCGTGGTGATCTGCGCGTGTGCTGCGGGCTGAGAGGCGGGTTTGGAGGGGGATGAGGCGGTGCTGCCGTGCGTCATCGATGGCTGCGGCTGCGAAGCAGGCTTGGGGCTCGACGTGGACGATGCGGGAAGACGCTGCTTCTTCGGGATCACCATGATCGGCCCGTCGTCGTCGTCGTCCTCCTGATTGGCACCCTCGTCGTCTGCGTCCTCCTGCACGCCTTGAGGCGCCGTCGTTCCCGCCTCAGCCGCGTGGCCACTGCTGCTGCTGTCTTTCTTCGCGTCGCCATTGCTGCGACTTCCCGCCACTGCCGCCGCCACGGACGCATGCGCATCGCCGAACGTAGCACTCTGCCCAATCAACGGCGACCCGTTCCTGCTCGCCGCCGTCCGCACCCGGTTCTCAATCACCTTGCACGCCTCCGCCTCGGCCCGCTCCCGCTCCTCGTCCATCTTATCCCTAAACTCCTCGAACGCCAGCGACATCCACGTGCCCAGGAACCCAATCACCTGCTTGGCCTCGGGCATCAGCGACGACATCTGCAAGAAGCCGTGGCTCCAGCCCTCGATGATTCGCATCTGCACCCAGTCCTCGGGCGACTCCTGCTCGATCGGGTCGATGGGCAGCTTGGACGGGACACCGGACGAGATGGGCGTGGTGCGCAGGCCTTCGCCGAAGCGCGACGAGGCCATGGCACGGCGGCGTTCCAGGTCGGCTTTCTTGGCGAGTTTGGCTTCGCGGATGCGGCCGGCCATGATGACCGTGTCGTCGCAGAGCGGGTCCTTTTCGCCGCAGATGAACAGGACGGGCGGGAACTCGGCCAGCAGGTGTGCGGGTGCCACGACGGGCGAGAGGAAGTAGTCGTGGTCCAGATCCGGCTGGCGCTTGGGGCCGACGTACAGGATGGCCATGGCGCGCAGCATGCCCTGCGTGATGATGCGATCCTGGAAGTAGCCCGCCATCGAGGTGATGGTGAGACGCGTGTTGAACGGAGCGCGCTTCTGGTCCTTGTTCCTGCTATCCGCCGCCTCCGCCGCCTGCTGCAGCACCTTTTGCTCCTTCTCAAACCTCGCCTGCGCACGCTTCTCTTCGCGGTCCGCGATCTCGTCGAGCATCGCCTGCTTCGCCACCTGGCCCCACGGCAGCCCGCCCTTCTCCCACGACGGCATCAGCGCGTTCTCGGCCCAGATGCGATCGTACGCCGAGTCGGAGGGCGTCGACGTGCCGTTCTCGTCCGAGGTCGGATCGACCTCCGCGTAGCGTGCACGCTCGTCGAGATGCAGCTCGGCGGTGCGCGTGAGCGACTGGTACGAACGGGCGTCCTTGAGTCGCTCCTTGCTCCTAGCCCGCTTCGCCTCGGCCCGCTTGCGTTCGGCAGGGCCCGCTGCGCTGGCCAAACTGGCAACAGATCTACGCCTGGATACGCGGAGCGGCGACGTGGCAACATCCGACTGATGCTGCGCCAGATTGTCGAGGTTGACCTCGCTCTGTTGGCGCAGGAGGCGCAGATGTTCCGGCTTCATCCAGCTCGAGAAGCCAAAGTTGAGATTCGGGTAGCTGAGCACCATGCCGATGGGTTTGGGCAACGGCGGAGGCTGCTGGGCGTGGGCGCTGCCGCGAGCGGTGAGCGACGAATAGGCGAGCTGGATGCGCGGCTGCGGATACTGGATGACTTTGAGCACGACGCCCGTGGCCAGATTGCCACCGGCACTGTCGCCGGTGAGGATGATGCGGAAGTTGGGCGAGCCCGACATTCCGATCACCTTGCCTGCCGTCTCGTGAAGCGTGCGGTACAGGTCAAAGCACTCCTCGAGCGCAAACGGATACGGATACTCGGGCGCCTTGCAGTAGTCGACGCAGAGCACGGGCTTCTGCATCTCCTTGGCGAGTTGGCGGAGACGTTCCTCGTGATGCTGCGGGTTCATGCAGATGTATCCGCCGCCGCAAATGTCGACGACGAGTTCTTCCTCCATTCGCAGCTGCCGTTCGCTCTTTGCGTAGAAGAGCCAGGCTTTGCTGGGGCGCGTGTGGTGGGCTCCCACCTGCGGTCTGGGGATGAGGAGCGGACGTGCGATAGGCAGCGAGGGTCGGTGGAACCAGGTGACCAGGCGGATGTACGGGTTGGTCGTCTTTTCCCACGTGGTGCGCATCATCTCGACGGTGCAGAAGGCCCTGTACTTTCGGAGCTTTTCGTCGGCCTCGTTGGCGTAGACCATGTAGTAGACGGAGAAGACCATGCTCATGATGTCCCTGAGCCACTTTGGCTTGATGTTCATGGCGGTGGCGAAGCCGGCATCGAGCGCAGTGACGAGCCAAGTGGTGCGGTAAAAGTTTCGCGAATACATCCGGGCCAGCGGTTCGGGTGCACCGTAGCCGAGGAGCGAGTCGAGGTGTCGGATGGTGTAGATGCCCACGGAGCTGAAGACGACGATCTGCCATGGCGAGAAGCGCTTGAGCTTGGCGTTGATCTTGCGGACCAGCGGACTTGGACCATCGCGATTGCCCGTGACGAGGAACCAGAGCCAGAAGAGGATGACTGAGAAGATCTGGACCCGCTTGAGCTTGGTCGAAGGTCGACCGAGCAGATGATCGATCATGGTGGGCTAGTGTCCAGACGTGTCAATGTCGAGTGCGCCCGCTCGCTGCAAGAAGTAGAGAGGAGACGTCTGCTACCACCGGCGAGCGGGACTCGACGATCAGATGGTGAAGGGAGACACAATTAGGCTGTTGAATTGTTGACCGGGAGAAGCGAAAGACGGAGAAGCGTCGCGAAGTAGTTGCTGTCGTCGTTACTGTGGTTGTCGTATACCGCTGTCGTAACCTGGTCCGTGACTGCTTGATGGAAATGGTCGGAGGAGGGGACGAAGAAGCAAACAGAGTCAGCGGAGCTGCTTTGCTGAAGATGGCTCGACTGCACGTATCTGGTCCGAACCATAGCAGAGATGCCATGACAAGAAAGCAGTTCAATTTTGGCGTCCGGCTGTCTCAGCCTTGTGCGTGCCAGAAACGGGAGCTGAAGCTGCAATTGTGCTGTGCTCTCTGTCTGTCAATTTCATTCAGGGTTCAGACAGCAGCGTCTGTAAGCAGGTCGGCCCGTGTGCATGTGCACTGATAAAGCTGGACCCGTGAAAAGCATTTTTCACACACTCAGACTGAGTGACACACACTCTCACACACAACGAGCGAAACACACACAGACGACACCGTCACGCTCTTTTCGACGGACTCCAGAATCGAAGCAACCTCCAGCATCGTAGCTCAAGCCTCACAAGACGCGATCTGGAGGTCAAAACTAGAATGCATGCTGTCATGTCGCTTGTCGCCTGAACGGTGTAAAGCCTATCTAAGAGGATCGGCCTGCTGCGCAGAGACCCATAGGCGGCTTCATAATCGGTAAGGTCAGACCACATCACGCTGTCCTGCGTCTATAGTGTAGTGGTTTGCATACTTCTTTCCCATGCCGTTTTGATGTTGGATCCAAGAAGAGGTCGTGGGTTCGAACCCCGCTGGACGCATTTTTTCGTCTTTTTTTTTTTTTTTTTTTTTTTTTTGGCCACCGACCTTTTGAGTCCATTGCAAGCATGGTGAGGATGATCGTTTGAAAGAAGCCAGGATGCTGACGTGAAAACGACATCGTCAGGCGATTTCTTCCATTTCGAACCCCGGTTTTTCCACCAAAAAAAGGAGTCTGCGACGCGCGCAAATGAACTGGAAGCGGACCGACAAAAGCGACAGGTCTCAGAAAGAGAAAAAGAGAGAGAGAGAGCATGGAAAGCCGCGGGGGTAAAACGAGTGCGCATGCTTCGGAACGTATTCCTCCCTTCCGGATGGATGCACACTCGCCCGCAACGACGGCCGTGACTGCCGAGAGAACAGAAAACAAAAGAGAGGCAGGGAGACAGACGTCCACGAAGCGTACCTGATCGTCTTTGTCCGAAGTTCGGAATGCCAATTAGCGGAGCATAGGTAGACGCGTGCCGGCCGTGATTTCCACTGCCTTCAGCGTGACCGGGGTCTCCGCACTCGAGAAGCATCCAAGTTGCTCGGTGGGACGACGGCAAGAACCAAGCGTCGTCATCCCAGTCGTGGTCGATCAAAGCGTGGAGATGAGATCGATTCAATGCAGTTCAGTCGAGTCGATTCACTGCGTTGTACTCAGGGGTCTGAAAGAGCGGGCGGCGGCGACCTTCCGACCAAGAGCGGACAAGGGTGGCCACCAGATTCGACTTAGCTGGCGAGCTGGCTTGGCTTCCAGAGAGAAGTGTTGTCTCTTTTCAGCGACGTGGCGAAAACCAAGCTTAGCTCATGCTGTCGTCCATCAAGGCGGTGAAATTCACGGAGCGATTCGCGCTCGGCTTGTCTGTCCTTTTTCGCTCGCTACTCCAATCACGCTTCTTTTTTTGCCCTTCTCCTCACCCTGTCTCTCTCGTTCTTCCAGCCACAGCTGCTTTTGCAAGGACACACACACGCGCGCTTGTCGGCCTTGGCCACTGCTGAACGGCAAAACCGACACGTTGGCGGCAACCACTCTTTCAGCTTTCAAGTTCCACTCCTCACTCCTTACTCCTTCCCTTCACCACCATCCCTACGCCACCACCTTTCCCTTTTCTCCCCTCTTTCGGACTGGGAAGCAGTTGCGCTCTGCAGATCATACCTCATACCATTGGTCGCCATCTGCCACGCATCTCACCTGCATTTCTTTGGCTCTATTTCAGCACATCTCCGGTCTTTAGGTTCGTCAACATGGCTTCGCAGCTCGACCTGATCGTTCTCGGTCTCGGAGGCTTGCTTGCCGTCCTCTACCTCTTCCGTGACAGCCTATTTGGCGGCGGCATCAAGGACACCGGCTCCAAGCTTGCGAACGGCGCACCGCTTGCTGCCTCCGACGAAGGCGGGTCCGACTTTGTCTCGAAGCTCAAATCGCAAAAGAAGCGCATCGCCATCTTCTACGGCTCCCAGACCGGCACTGCCGAAGAGTACGCCACCAAGCTCGCAAAGGAGGCCAAAGCCCGTTTCGGCACCTCTTCGCTCGTCCTCGACCCGGAAGAGTATGAGTTTGACAAGCTCGACCAGATGCCCAAAGACACCGTCGCCGTTTTCGTCATGGCTACGTACGGCGAGGGCGAGCCCACGGACAACGCCGTTGGTCTGATGGAATTCATCGAAGCCGACACGCCCGAATTCTCCAACGGCAGCGAGCGTCTCGAGAACCTCAACTACGTCATCTTTGGTCTCGGAAACCGAACCTACGAGCACTTCAACGCCGTCGCCCGCAAGCTCGACGCCCGCCTCCAGTCGCTCGGTGCCAAGCGCATCGGCGAGCGAGGCGAGGGCGACGACGACAAGAGCATGGAAGAGGACTACTTGGCATGGAAGGACTCGATGTTCGAGTCGCTCGCCACCACGCTCGACTTCCAGGAAGGCGGCGGAGGCGACGTGGCCGACTTCAAGGTCACCGAGCTTGCCGACCACCCGCAGGACAAGATCTACCAAGGCGAGCTCTCGGCTCGAGCGCTGCTGGGCACCAAGGGCATCCACGACGCCAAGAACCCCTACAACGCCGTCATCAAGGAGGCGCGCGAGCTGTTCGTCGAAGGCACGGCCGATCGCACCTGCGTCCACGTCGAGTTTGACATTGATGGCTCCGGCATCTCGTACCAGCACGGCGACCACATCGCTGTGTGGGCGCACAATCCCGAGCAGGAGGTCGAGCGTGTCCTGGCCGTCCTCGGTCTTCTCGACAAGCGCACCACCGTGATCGACGTCGAGTCGCTCGACCCCACCCTCGCCAAGGTGCCCTTCCCCGTCCCCACCACGTACGAGGCCGTCTTCCGACACTACATCGACATCACCAGCCATGCCTCCCGACAGACTTTGGCCAACTTTGCCAAGTTCGCACCCACGCCGGAGATTCAGGCCAAGCTTGAAAAGATTTGCGCCAACAAGGACACCTTCCAGGCCGAGATCGGCAGCCGCTTGCTCAAGACCGCCGAGGCCATGCAGTGGATTGCTGGCGACAGCCTCGATGCCGACGCCCGCTCGATCAAGCCCTGGAACATCCCCTTTGACCGCGTCATCTCTGACCTGCCGCGTGTGGGTCCTCGATTCTACTCGATCTCGTCGAGCCCCAAGATGCACCCCAAATCGGTGCACATCACCGCCGTCGTGCTGCGTTACCAGGCGAACAAGTCCGGTCCTTGGGTCCACGGTCTGGCCACCAACTTCATCAGCGCCATCAAGATGCAGAAGAACAGCGAGCAGCCCACGGGTCCTTCCGACCCCCGCTACGGCACGCCCAAGTATCTGCTCGACGGACCTCGAGGCGCTTACACCAAGGAGGGCCAGTTCCGTGCTCCCATCCACATTCGACGCTCCAACTTCCGCCTGCCGACGTCGCCCAAGATCCCCGTCATCATGGTCGGACCCGGCACCGGTGTTGCGCCGTTCCGCTCCTTTGTGCAGGATCGTGTCTGCAGCGCCGAAAAGGCGCTCGAAAAGGCAAACGGCAAGACGCCCGAAGAAGCGCTCAAGGACTGGGGCAACATCTGGCTGTTCTACGGCTGCAGAAAGTCGGACGAGGACTTCCTCTACCGCGACGAGTGGCCTCAGTACGCACAGAAGCTGGGCGGCAAGCTCGTGATGGAGACGTCGCTGTCGCGCGAAAAGTTCAAGCCCGACGGCTCCAAGCTGTACGTGCAGGACCTCATCTGGGAGCGCCGCAAGCAGATCGCCGAGGACATCCTGGAGCGCAAGGCGTACATCTACATTTGCGGTGAGGCCAAGGGAATGGCGCAGGACGTCGAGGCCATCTTTGGCAAGATTCTCGAGGAGGCCAAGGGCTCGGCAGAGGAGGCCAAGAAGGAGATGAAGCTGCTCAAGGAACGCTCGAGATTGCTTCTCGATGTGTGGTCTTGAAGAGGACTCAATTGAGAAGAAACGGCTCTCGTCACGATCGTGCACAGAGTCGCAGCATAGGAAGCATATGGCGGTCGCTTGTGACCGAGCCATCATCAGCATGAAAGTGTAATAGAAGTCCAAACCTCGCTGCTTTCGGATCGATGTTGTGTGTGTGCGCAAGAGCGAGCTGCAAGCAGGACGAGCTTTTTGTTGGCAAGAATCGCGCAGTTTCGATCTGACAACAAAACATAAAAAAACATATCTACTCGTACGATAACTTTTCATTCCCGCGTTGCAACGAGTGGATTCATCGACATGACCAAGCCTCACAACTGCGATCCGCACTGACACTAAACTTCTCGTCGAAGCCTGTGACACTTTTTACCACCACCTCCGCAACCCCTTCGGTCTCTCATTCGGCCATCATGTCGCTCCGGGCTACGCGCACCCTCTTCAACGAGGCCAAGAACTACGCTTCGCCTCACGCCTTCACCTACGTCGAGGGAAAGACTCCCTTCTGGCGAAAGTTCCGCCAGGTCTTCTCGGCCAACCCAGAGATCTCGTCCGGTATCCCCTCGGTCGAGTCGAACCGATGGCCTCAGCCCGGTTCTCGCCCCGAGCGCTCTGCTACTCCTCCAAGCGCCGCCTCTGACCCCGCTGGCAACCTCTACCACAACCGAGACTTCCGACGCAAGTACCCCAAGCTCGAGATGATCACGCAGAAGGACCTCACCACGCTTCTGCTCTCTTCGCCCAACGAGGACGGCACTCGAAGGTACGCTTTTGCGTCTGCATTCCAGGTCGCTGGTTTCGACCACTTTCTCTCACCGTGCTACAATACTGACTACTCTTTTGTCTCTTCTCGACTGCCATCACTGACGGGCACGCTTCCGCATCTTACTCTCATGATTCGACACCATTGCTTCGCGCAATTAGCCTCCAGGCACCCGAGGACGCCTCCAACACCACCGCTCTCACGCGCCCTGCTGACCTCGAGTCGCCCACCGCCTTCACCGATGTTCTGGCCCAGGTGCACAAGTCGTCGGATGCTTCGTCTGCTGGCTTCTACTCGACTGCCAACCTGCCACCACGCCCTCCTTTCAAGCAGCCCCACCACATTCTCAAGCTGCAGAAGGGCGCTGTTCCGCACGACCCTCACGCCTACTACCCTGCGTAAGTGCTGTCGCTCCGTCGTCCAAGATTGTCTGCAGTTGCGCTCACAGAGTTGCCGCGGCTGTCTCATTGTCTGATTCTGTTTGCTGATCACTTTGCGTTTTCACTTCCGTCGGCTGCTTTCGTCTATCACAGTGAGAACTACGCTTAGAGCGCCATGTCGTGCATGCTGCTTCTCACAACCGGTCAATACAATGACAACAATCACATCAGCATCGCTTCGTCAATCTGTGTCTTATCCGGTCGAGGCTTTCATCACAGCTTCAAGGCTTCTGCAGCTCGCTTGTCTTGTCCCTCTCCCTTCGCGATGAGCTTGACTTTCGCCTGGGTAGACACAACTCAGCAGCCATTCCGCTGTCTCTCGGCACTCGCTGCAAGACTCGTCGCTTCCTTTGCCATCTTGTCTTTCGGAAGCTCCCACATCACCCTTTCTCACGCTGTGTGA